GACAACTAAAAACATATGTAGAAAAAATTATCCGGGCACGGTGGCGCATGCCTGTAGTCCCAGCTACTCGGGAGGCTGAGGCAGGAGTTTGAGGTTGCTGTGAGCTAGGCTAACACCACGGCACTCACTCTAGCCAGGGCAACAGAGTGAGACTCTCAAAAAAAAAAAAAAGGTATTTCAGAAATATGCATAAAATATAAATACATTCCATATATATTTTAGGGTGGATGTATGTTAAGACTTTGATGAGTTGCAATCAACTTTTAATCTTAAACTGTTTTCTATTATACATGTGCTAAAAATATTTTACTATACACCAATTTCTAACATGATTCCTCAGAATAATTGTGTTATCTTAAAACAAGGTAATGAGATGAGAGATGAGGAGGAAAAGACTAGCAATGGTCTGAAGTGTGAACAAAACTAAGGAAATTTCATTCTACATCAAGAAGTATCCAAGATTGTTCAAAGGACAGCTCTTGACGACTGGTAGTGGCACACCAACAATCTGGACTGTTCACTGAACATGGCATAACGAGGTTGGGCAGGAGTGTGATGGCCTCAGTGGGGAACCACAGGGGTGAGTATCACAGGAAATGTTAAGTCAGGGAATGCACGAGAGAAGGGAAAATTAGGTAAATACATGACCATATCACAGGGCTTAGCTATGTAAAGGAGTCTGTTGGGTCTCCGGGGAATAATACAATCTGTTATGGACAATTGGACTTTCATTTATGGGGGAAAAACATTTCCAAAATTAAGGTAAAAATATTTCTAAAATATATTTTATCAATTTATTTATCCAAGAAGATAGCTTAGATAAAATTCTAGTTGAATTCAGTGAAAATATGCCTGTGAGGTGAAGAACACAAGCCTCTTAGTGCAGGAGAAAGATTTGATTATCACACCCCACTGCCCTAAGTCCCACAGATGTTCTCTCTAGAAAAGGCCAGCCATCTTTAGCTATCAGTCAGAGGTGCCAGGGGACATGGAGGGAAGAAACCACTATCCCTGACAACTACAGGGAGGGAGTGACCAAATCCTATATTCTAGGCTCACTTTGGAGCTACTCCATCAGCCCTGGACACTTAGGCATAGATAGAATTTATCTATCTTTCACATAAAAGGAGTCCAGACCACATTGTATAACTTCTATCTTTTGTTAGCTACTGTTATTTTGTGTTTTTTCCCCTTGTTATATGCTGCCAAATCTAATCCATAATCAGAGTGAAGGGGTTTATTATACCTCTTGCACAGTAATTGATAAAAATTGTTATGGATATAATAGATTTGCTTAATATGATTTTACCTAACAGATTAACATATATATATATAACCTGGTGCCCCAAATTAGAGAAAAAACATTCTTCTCAAATACATAAGGACTTTTCAAAAACTGACCATCATTTCTGGCACAAAGCTTAAGAATGAATGCCAAGAATTGGTTTCATATGAGAGCTACCTTCCTGACCATAATGCATTTGAGTTCAAAATAACAAAAAGATAAATTTGAAAAAAAAATCCATAAAATTGGAGAAATTAAAACACTTGTAAATAACTCCGGTCAAAAAAGAAAAATACAGAATGAGAACAGAAACTTACTGCAAACAGAAACTGTTTGCAATTATGAACACCACGGCAAAAATCTGAAATAAAATCTTGAGTTTGTCCAATGAATGTAAGGATAGTTTGAGCTGAGAACATCAGTGAATGTAATTTACCACATTAACAGTTTATAAGAAAACAACCCATGACTATCTCTGTGGATGCAGAGAAAGCTTTAAACTCAACAACCATTTGTTATAGAAAACTTTTAACAAGCTTACAAATAGAAGAAAACTTTCTTAACCTGACAATGGCTATTTAGCAAATGATGTTTACTGTAGTTTTTTCAAATCTTTCTCCTGCACTAAGAGACCTGTATTCTCTACCTTACAGGCGTATTTTCACTGAATTCAAGTAGAATTTTACCCAAGCTAT